TTGAAAGGAAAAGAAAAGATCCTTGTCACAATAGCATATGTTTTATGTGTGTGTTATTAAACGTTAACGAATACAAGTTTTTTTTTTGTTCCTATGAATGTTAATAGCGAACGAATACAAGTTGCGACTACTTGTTTCGTTTGCATGTAAATGAATACATGATTTACGAACAAAAATGAAAAAGAAATAATATAATTTCGAAGGGGATGTATCAAAGAGTAAAGGAGAGGAGTCTAAATAGCTAGAAATGTTGTAGGGTCGAGAAAAAATTGTCAAAAGTCCAGTCCAAATAATTTTGTCCCTCACTAATCGTGGCTACCATGAAATTGGTCAACTTTATTCCATTTTTTACTTAATTATTTTCAAAATTTTCTAATTTTATAAGTAAAATAGCTGGCTCACTTCACTGTACTCGTTGAGTCTTATTTTGTCTTCTTTAACTTTCTTTTTTTCCAAAGTTTTCATATTTTTGGGCGTTAGTATAGTTGGCATAATGTTTCATCAGATCAACTGACATAATGTTTTAAACCAGCGTTCCTGATGGAATATATATTTGGTGACATAATGTGATTTAACTTTTAAGGGAATGGACGAAAATTAAATGGTTATCTTAGTCCTAGGAAGTATAAATTCTCCGGATATAATAGACCTCGCTCTATTTGTTCATGTACGTGTTTCTTTTTTAATCAAATGGAGACCACTCATTTGCTTAGTCTATAAAAGTAAAACAAATGGTATGTATTAAGAAACTTGAACCTTTAAGTATAATATGTTGTTATTTAAATTAAAGATACTCCATAGCTCATACGTTCGATGGTGAGGATAAACCGAGTGATTAGTATTATAACTAAGATTCTAAAGAACAATTAGTTTCGTTAAATTCCTTAATTTTTGTTTATTTGCTTGAACTACTTTCCTGTTTTTTTTTTTTTTGCATGAATTAGACAATTAATCCAAAAAAAAGTTTCATAAACAAAAAAAGAGTCGACTGTGACAAGGAAAGGTCAAGAACCATCGCTTTTATCATCATTCTCTTTGTTAAACAACTCACAACCACACACACAAACCCAAGTATTCCATTCTCATGGAGAAAGAAGAACAAATTAAGCAAATAATGCATGTTCAGAGAGATAAAGACATCCACAATTATTCCTTCATTCTAAAAAGCTTCTTTAGTACACGATACATGTATCACCTAAGTAGAAATATAAAAAAAAACATGATATTCACGACCCATTCTCATAAAGATAGCAACATTTAACATTTCATGTTATATAGAGTGTCTTTCTTAGAATGCATGTATTAAAAATCAAGTATTATCGATCCCACTCACTCCTCACTCCAAACCAAATAATCTATCCTCTTTTTCTTTTACTCATAAGTCAACTCTCATTTCTTCCCCTATATAAATACCCTATACACATTCTCATTTCTACAAGACAACAATCACAAATATCATAAAACAAAGA